ATGCTTGATAGGAAATATAAAAAGGTATAAAAATATGAAATCCAACAATCCCTCTTTTGATCTCCCCATATTCATGGGAGATCACACCCTTTTGGATGTTTACAGATGGAAGTGAGTAACACTGCCACCCCACCCAAACTTACTGCAACCCCCCAGGGGTCCTGGACCAGACCCATGGTTAAAGCCCTTCAAAACCTGTAAAAAATACCAAACGCATAAACCTTTATAAAAATACAAAAAACACTACAACACGCCTAGTAAAAGATAAATACCCAACACACTAAAATAAGTAAAACTCTACCCTAATACCAAAATTGACCTCCTTTTAAACCACCTTTAAAATACCTCGTGGGATTTTAGAATGATTAAATGCCCAATTGAATGGAGTAAAATTTTGAATAGTTAAGAGTTTCCAATTGAATCCACGACCCTTCTCTGGTTGTTTCTCAGAATGACTGAAAGAAAAGACAAGACACTCATGTTAAACAAGAAAAGACAAAACACTCAATTTAAACAGGACTATCTAGCAGGTCTTCGGTTCTTGAGCTTGCGGTGGGAGGCCTTGTTCGTCCACAAGGGTCCTTTTGGTGCTCGGCGGGATTCGGCCCACGGAGATGTCTTCATGCAAAGTCCTCAGAACCTTTATCAGTCTGATCAGACATTCTAAATGACGTGTGTGCATTGGGAAAAAAACTAAAATCAGTTTGACGCGTCTTCTGTTCTTCACGGTCCGGGCTGGGAATCTTCCTTCCTTCCCCGTTCCACCTGACTGACCGACTTAGGCAGAGCGGAGACTTCTTCTCCAATGTTTGCTACTGCGTTTTTTCTACCAGGGCAAAGGGGCAAAGAGTGAGCTCCCACGAAGGTCCTGTCACCTCCTCCAGGTGTAATGGGGAGCTGTACTCCTGATGTTCCACCAGATCAGCCTCAATCGGTCCAGATTGATTCAGCTCCACTGCAGGGGTGCACTGGTTGTGGTCGTAACAGGTGTCACTCCTTCTGGAGACCGATGGCGTGTGATGTTCTCTCTACCACCTGGTGGGGTC